TCATCTTTATCTGCTTTCTCTTCTCTTCGTCTGCTTCTCTCATATTTGTTTTTTTTCTTTTTTTTCATTTTCGTCTGTCCTCTTTTTTCGTATGTTTCTTCACATTCATCTGTTCTTATATTTCTCTGTTTCTCCATCTTCATCCGCTTCTTCCAATCTTTAAATCTTATTTTTTCCCACCTTTTCCTCCTCTCCTCTCCCCCCCTCCCCCCTTTGGCCTGCTTCCCTAAGGGATCGATCGATGAAGGTCAAGTGAATAGATTATACCCATGTCGGCTAATTAGGTTCCGCTCTCTCTCTCTCTCTCTCTCTCTCTCTCTCTCTCTCTCCTCTCTCTCTCTCTCCTCTGTCTCTCTCGTCTCTCTCTCTCTCTCTCTCTCTCTCTCTCTCTCTCTCTCTCTCTCTTCTTCTTTCTCTCTCTCTCTCTCTCTCTCTCTCTCTCTCTCTTCTCTCTCTCCTTCTCTCTCTCTCTCTTCTCTTNAGAGAGAGAGAGAGAGAGAGAAAGAGAAAGAGAAAGAGAAAGAGAGAGAGATAGAGTCTCCGCTTCCCAAACCTGGCTGAAGGCGGAGATTTGGCGAAGAGCGAGAAGGGAGAGAAAAACGGTGCTAAAGTCTTTCGTCTTCTGTCAGCTGTTTTGTATTTCGTTCCCTCTTCTTTTTATTCTTAAAAATCCTTCTTCTTTTTTTTGTCTTCTCTTTATCCCCCTTTCTCCTTTTTTTTCCAGCCTTTTTCTTCTCCATTTTCTTTTTCCCACTGCCTCTTCACCACCACCACTTTCCACCTTCCACCTACCCCCGTTTCCCCCTTCCCCTTTCCCTCTTCCCCCTTTCCCCCCTTCCCTCTTCCCCCTTTCCCCTTTTACCATTACGCTTCCCTTTTCCCCTCTTCCCTCGTTCTCCTTTCTTTTCTGCCCGCTTCCCTTCGTCACCCACCTCTCACACTTGCTCTTTCCCTCCCCTGCCTACCCCCATCATGATGCTCTCCCTCTCCCTTTTCCCTCTCTTCCCCATCCACTCCCTCCTTTTCCCTTCTATTCCCTATCCCCTCCCTCCTTTCCCCTCTATTCCCTATCCCCTCCCTCCTTTCCCCTCTATTCCCTATCCCCTCCCTCCTTTCCCCTCTATTCCCTATCCCCTCCCTCCTTTTCCCTTCTATTCCCTATCCCTCCCTCCCTTCCCCATCCCCGCCCTCCTTCCCCTCTATTTCCCCATACCTCCCTGTTCTTCCCCTCCCTTTCCCTCACCTCTTTTTCCCCTCTCCTCCCTTTCCCTCACCTCTTCTTTCCCCTTCCTTCCCTTCCCTCTTCTTCCCCTACCTTTCCCTCACCTCTTTTCCTCTCTCCTCCCTTCCCCTCACCTCCCTTTTCCCCTCTCCTCCCTTCCCCGACAGTGTTCAGTGTTGGGCCGAAGAAAAACGTCTGGCATTGAATGGAAACACGTCGTGGGGTTTTATTGGGGTCGGACGAGTTTTCAATGTNGGTGGAGGCGCCGGGCAATGGTGAAGGGCACAGATCACACGGTGGTGGGGCACAAGTTAGAGGGCAGGTGGGGGGGGGACAACATTGGGGGGGGGCTTGGGGGAACGAAAACACCATCATTTTTTTGGACAGACGAGGAAACGGGGTTGCCGATGATTGTCGGAAATGATAAGACAATCCTCCAATATAAACCTCATGGGGGAGGTCTTGTCTATGGAAGCTAATCTTGGCAATATTGACGGGATTTACACTGGCCACTGAGAGGAAAAGTGCAACACTGTATTGCCATTACATCATATTCAGCAAGGCAGGAAAATAGGTCATATTCACAGTCTGACCAGTTCTTGTCATATATGGGACAAGCATTTGGGGGAATAGAAACAGTTCCAGAACAAGTATTAGAGAGGGGTTTGAGGTTTGGCAGGAATGGGTTTGCCAGTTAAGTCAGTTAGGGAGTCATGAGCTTGGGATTCACATGTAACTGTGACAAGGCATGAATGATCAGAACGACTGCAAAAGGTAACCTTGCCTACTTGTTTCTGGAGGCACTGCTAAAAGAGAAGGGTATTCCTATTACTGTAACTAATAAACATAATATGATGAGAAATAATGTTGATCAAAGCTGTAGGAGTTGTTTATTCTTATGAAATGCCACATGAAGCACTGCTAAGCCTATGGTAACATGCGGTACTTCTACAATCAAATCACGTGCACTCATTGCCATTAGCACCTTGCAAAATGGGGGGGAGGGGGTTACCAGGTGCCAGTCACACTTCAGAATACATGTGAATGCCATAGAATGGATCAAGATTGACACAGGTATCAGAAAAAAAAAAAAAAAAAAAAAGGAAAATGTATCCTCAAATTCAAAGCCCCATATCTCAAAACTAACACCTTTGTCAACATTCTTTTTTAAATCTTCATAACTACTTGGGCAATTCTAATGGAGTTTGAATCATTTGAAAGCTGAATAAATCTGCAATTTTTGCAATGATGCTGATTTTCATTTCAGGTAATAAAGGTCCATATATCATACATTATATGTTTAACAAAGAACTTAAAAAAAAAAAAAAGCATCAAACTAAGAGGAAATTTCAAAATCCAAATCATTGCAAATTTAGGTATTGCTATAGAGGATATGTGGTATTTTTTAATAACTAGTTCAGTCAATGGATAAGTGAGAGTTATAATTTTTTTTGATTTTTCATTTTTTCTTTTTTTTTTTAATAACTTCATTGTTTTTTATCCAAATGACATGGAACTTAGTGGTGTAAATCTTAGCATATGTATATATAACATATTAAAAAATTGCAAAAATCCGATTATAATCAACAAATTTCATTTATGCCCCTATTAAGGGTAAAGAATCTTTATTACTGGCTATGGTGAGCCTGAATAAACTGGGGAGAAGAAATCATCTGCCCTTCTGGGTCCCCATAAGGGGTAAGGGGTAGGCAATTAACCAAGGGAATACTATGACCATGGCTCCCGGAGGCCGTTTGTGACTGACACAAAAGTCAGCCTTTCATCCTTATAGCACATCTCTCACACCTTAGGAATGGGATAGAAGATGGGAATAAAGAAGATACGGAGAAGGAGAGAAGAGAAGAGAGGACCAAGCAAAATTAGTTGAGGCGAGGGTTGAGGCCCAAGGTAGGGGGGATCTTCTACATTGGATCGCAGTCCTTGTCTCCTAAGCCATCCCATGATGACAATGAGCTAGGTATTGGGAGGGAATGA